AACAAACTTATTCCCAATCCAGATGCATTTTCTTTTTCTTGCCATCTGTTGTGACTGGAACCTCCACTATACTGTTGAGTAGATGTGGTAAGAGCAGACATCCTTGCCTTGTTCATAATCTAAGAGGGAAAAGTGTTCACTTCTACCAGTAAGGAGGAGGGTAGCTGTTTTTTTTAATTGATAATTTATGTGCATGTGGATTTTGCCTGTATGAATGTCTGTGTACCATATGTATTCCTTGGTGTTCCCCTGGCCATCAGATTCCCTAGAACTAGGGTTACAGACAGTTGTGAGCCACCATGTGGGTACTAAGAATCAAATGTGCCTCCTCTAGTGCAGCAAGTGCTTTTAATTGCTGAGCCATTTCTCCAGCTCCTGCTCTTATTTATTTATTTAATTTATTATCTATTATTATAATACAGGATCATGTTATGGAGTAGAGGCCTCAAACTCTCTTGATCTTCCTGCCTCAATTTCCCCACTTGTTAACAGTGAAAGAGCACTTGTCTATAGTGGATAAGCTGGTAGAAGCAGCTTGAATGTATCTCCTTCATGGTCAGCATTAGGTCCCCTGGGATACCGGAGGTAGAAGTAAGTCATTGTTGCTGCAGCCCATTCAGTTGATCATTGAGACATAGAACAGGACCTGTTTAACATCCAGTGACTAAAGACTGTCTTATCTTATTCTGAAATTTAGAAAATAAGTCCAAGCCTGACATAATGACTTACGTACTTGAGAAGCTGAGGCAAGAGAACTGTTATGAGTTTAAGCCCAGCCTGCTACATAGTAAGTTCTAGACTAACCTGGGATATAGTTAGGCTGCCTTAAAAAGAAATTCCACTTACAATAACATCAAAAAGAATAAAATAGTTGGGCTGGAGAGATGGCTTATCAGTTAAGAGCTCTTGCAGAGGACCCAGGTTCAATTCTCAGCATCCAGGTGGCTCACAAATGTCCATAATGCCAGTTCCAGGGGTCTGTCCAGTCCCATGTGTACTCATGCCCTCTGTGGCCTCTGAGGGAACCAGGCTACCTGATCCATACACAATTAAAAATGATGATGATGATAAATCCTAACATAAATTTAACAAATACAAGCCATATTTGAAATAAAGACCTGGCCCAAAAAAACAAGCAATATTCTACAATCTGAGCTATGGAGTCAATTCCACCCCATCAAAATCCCAGTTTATTTTCAGAAAACAAGTTGATCCCAAAATTCACAAGGAAATAAGGGATGCAATAGAGCCAAAACAATCTTTAAAAAGAGATAAAGTTGGAGGATCAACTACTTCTTAACTTCAAAACTTCCCAGAATGCTCCATCATAATAGCATAGAGATAGACACTTTCTGCAAAGTGGATATGTAAATGGACAATAAGCACAAGAAAAAAAATGCTCTACAGCATTTAGCCAACAGATATGCAAATCATCAAATCCACAATGAGAGCTGGGGGTATGGCTCCATGGTGGAGCTCTTGCCTAGCTCCTAACTAGCTCTTGGCTTCCACCCCCAGCAATACATCTGAGCAAACAAAAAAACCCCACAAAAGATGCCACTTTATACCCATAAGATAAGAGATCACCAGAAAATTATGTGTTGACAAGCATGTGGAGAAATTGGAACTCTTATACATTGCTGGTGTTAGTTGGTGTTAAATGGTACCATCACCAGGAAGAGATGACTGGGGATTACTATATGGTCCAACAACTCCATTTTTATAGGCATTACTCAAAACAATTGAAAGCAGATTCAGACATTTGTATGCCAGTTCATTGTAGCATTATCCACACTAGCCAAAAGCACTGAATTGTATTCTTTGAAAAGATACATTATATGGCCTGTGAATTTGATGTCAATAAAGCTATGATTTCTTTTAAGTTCTAGTGTCATGGTGAGAGTCTCTACCGGCAAGTTGCAGAGGCCATGAGTTAATATGAAGTCACTTTGAAAGAGACAGGGAGAAGGGCACTCAATATGAGGAAAGGCACATGTTTAAGGATCTCAGGATGCAGGAAAGGGATACTGGAAACTGCCAGGGTTTTCAGGACAAAAGTTGCCTTCTGATCTGGTTGGTAGGTTCCGGCCTGAAGGAAACTCTCCTTGAGGTCTATAAACATCCCTTTCCCATAATCTCCTCACCTGGGCTACCTAATAGCTTTCACTGCTTTCCATATATTGTTTCTACATTCATTCCTTTTGTTTTTACTTAATTTGAAAGGATAGCTCTGCTTTTAAAAAACCATCTGGTCTGCCAAGGAGAACCAAGAAAACGAAAGTTTGTGTCCAAATTTTAAAATAGCAACCCATGGGAGCTGAGTACAGAGGATGAAGGTTGCTCTGCAGTGGCCTCCCTTTTAGCCAGCCACGTAGCTGAGGGCAAGTCCTTTCTGTGAGAGGTGGGGGCTCTTAGGGTCTACCGAGGGTCACCTCAGCCTTCCTGCCCATTGAAACCCAACAGAGGCAGCCCTAGTTCTGAAATCCAATGTGTTTTACTGAACCCCTTTTGTCGGTTCCAAGCTAGGTCATTTCAGATTCTTTTTTTTTTTTTTTTTTGGTTTTTTCGAGACAGGGTTTCTCTGTGTAGCTTTGCGCCTTTCCTGGAGCTCACTTGGTAGCCCAGGCTGGCCTCGAACTCGCAGAGATCCGCCTGGCTCTGCCTCCCGAGTGCTGGGATTAAAGGCGTGCGCCACCAACGCCCGGCTCATTTCAGATTCTTACCCACTAGAAGGGTGGCAACAGACAGGTGAGGGATCCAAATAGTGGAAACAAGAGTGGAGAAACCACAGCGATGGGGCAGGGTTTGGCTGAGGGAATAATTAGGGAGGACATAAAAAGGGAGACCACAGAACCAAACAGAAGAGACCAGAAGCGCCTCCCCCAACGTGGTGCTCCATGCCCACCATCTCTTGCCCATTATTTCCTATAAGTGCTGGTGATGAAGGTAAGACCACAGTAAGAATGATCGGCTTCCGAAGCCACCTCAATACCATCCCACTACTATGATTGACACCATCTCCCCTGCTACTCTGCCGCTTTCCTGAAGAGTTATCTCTATTTGTCCAGGAGCCTACAGGTTCTCTCTGAGCCAAGACCTCCTGCGCGCACTTGTTCCCTGGTTCTGATCAACAAACTCAGTAGCTGAGGCACAAGTCACTAAACTCACCTGTCTGCACCCACATCTGCTCCTGGTCCTGACACTCTCTGATCTCGACCTCTCTACACTTAGCACTTGTGTGTCTCAGTGAACATCATCCAGGACACATTTCTCTAAACAACTCGAAGGGTGCACACAAAAAGTACACACGCGCGGGGTTGGAGAGCCTCCGCGCACACACAGACAGGGCACAGGCACGCACTCACGTAGTTACGCCACGCACAGGCAAGGAAACCCCACTCGTGGCTCAGGGGCTGGGCTCAAGGTGCGAGCGTGCAGCAGGGTGTCTCCGCCCGCTCCTCAGGAGTCGCTGGCATCGCCCTCCTTGTCCCCAAGACCCAGCAGGCCAAAGCGGATGCTAATAGACAGAGCGCGTGCTGGGCACCATCGATCCTGGCGTCACCCACTCATCCCAGATTCCTGAGGCCCAGGAGTTGACAGTCATTACTGGGTCAGACCAGAGAGTTGGGTGCGAGAATGGGTACCCAAACCCTGCTCAGTTGTCGATGTGTTTTGAGTCTGGGCTGCCAGGACGGGATTCACTCTCTGGCCCGTGGGAACTCTACAGCTTCTTTGGTTCTGGGTCCAAACGGGGGAACCCAGCCCGTTGCTATGCAACCTCCGTCACGAGCGGGCCACAGAGCGCCTCTCAGTGCTGGGACAGAATCCTAACTTCCCACCCGGGCTAATCTGGACACATAGTTCATAGTCCTTATGTACTCGGTTGGGATGCCTGGTGATGTGCCTCGAACATCACCTACCTATCTCCACCCGGTTCATTCCCTCAATACCTGGTTCCCACAGGGCGCCAGCACCCAGCAACCCATAATCTGAGGGTGAGAGCGACTTCCTACCTTTTCCTCTCCGAGCCCTCTCGCCCTCCCACAGCTGCCTCTCCGCCTCCACGTGGCCCTCCCCTGAGGTTTACAGTTTTCCTTGGCCTGGCTGCGCCTCTCGCCCTAGCAGCCCAGGCGCCCTACCTGAAGCATCACTTTGTACTGCTCCTCCGGTTTCTGGACCACGCACATATTACATCCCATGGTGCTGGCCGGCAAGGGAAAGAAGAGGGCGGGAAGAGGAAGGCGTCTTTCACTGGCCGGTGCGTGGGACCACGGGTCCCGGGCACGGACCCCGGGCCATACCCTACCGCGGGAGGCCGAGCCGCCTAGCGGGGGAGGGGGGCACACCCCCAAGAGGAAGGCAGCTCCACGCCCCTCGACTTAACTCTTTGCTGGCCGAAGCCAGACACAGACATGCTCCCTCGCACCCAGGCAGGGAAAAAAGGGCAGCGGGGGATGGGCGGGCGCGCCGGGCGTTGCCTGGCTACGGCCCCCTCAGGAAGCGCGGGAGCACGCCTGGCCTCCGGGGCCGTCAGGGGCCGTGGGCCACGCGCCTCCCCGCCCGTGGGGCCCGCTGCTGCCGCTGCCGTTGCCGCTGCCGTCTCCGGCTCCCGCCCATGGCCGTCAGCCCCGGGAGCCCAGCCTCTGCGCTTGGCGCTGTGGCCCGGCCCTCCGACAGAGGGGCGGCCAGGCCCGCGCCAGCTGCAGCCTCGCAGGGTCCCACTTCTCGGGCTCGCGGCGCCCTCTCAGAGCCCGGCCTGCAGCCGGTCGCTGGTCTCCAGCTCCTGCCTGGGACGCCGGGAACGCGCGCGCGCCCGCAGCGGCAGCGGGGGAGGTATGCGGGGACGGGGCGCACGCGCGCCAGAGAAGGCGAGGGGCTGGGTGCGGGCGGGAGCAGCGGGGAGCTGGGAGAGTCGGCGCGGGAAGCGGGGGGCGGGGCCTGGATGGCAGCGGGCAGTGGAGCCCCTGGCACCCGGTGACGCCTGTGTCCGATGGCAGGTTGTTTAGCGGACCTGTCTGCTAGGTGCGGCTCTGAGAAAGAGGGTCCCCTTTGAAGAAGCCTCCCAGGACTCCTGGAGAGAGTTTGGGACCTTGGTAAGGAGAGGCGATTTCACCCTTTTCCCAGGCTCTGGACATATCAGCCCCAATGTCTTCACTTTTCCCTCTGTCTCTTTAATGACTGGTTCCTAGCTTTAACTGAGCCATTCCCTTGCTGTCTTTGAAATGGATACCTTTGTTTAGAGAAAAGAAAAGCGTGGAATGGTGAAAGGAGAAGCCTTATGCTTTGGGGCCCTCATGGGCCCACGCCTTGTTTGCCCTGGAACTGCTGCCTACCTGTTTCTCTGTTACAGCCTTCATTCCTCACACTTCTCTTTTAGCCTCTCCTTCTCCTACCTCTTCCCTCCCACAGCCTGTTCCTCTTCTTGGATAAGGCAGGTTCTAGAGGGCCCTTGCCTAGAAAACAAGAACAAATCGAACACTAGGTTCCCAGAGGCTGCCTAGGAGAGCTGCTCAGCCTCTAGCCCCTGCCTCCAGAAGATCCCTTGATAAAACTGCCTCGTGCTTTTATCTCCAGACTCTAGCAAGTGAGGAAATTTGTAGCAGCATAGGGATGTTTAATTAACAGTATTGGGGAAGGCTGCTCCAAGACTTTTCCTTTCCTCCCCACTCTGGTTCACAAGACAGAAATAGGAATAGCCTGAAATCTAAAAAGAGGTGTAAGTGCTTATCAAGTGTTTCTCCCAAAAGCAGAACTTGAGACCAGGGCTGCTATGCAGCCTTTCAGGAGAAGACCAATAGGTCTTCTTGAGGAATATCCTTCCTGAGAGCTCAGTACAAGTGTCTGTGGTTGGGAGGTACTGTGTTTAGATCAACCTTGGGGAGAGGAGATGAACCCTAGCCCTTCCATAATGGCTACTGCCACCACACAGTTCTCTGCCCTGTGTATTTCTTGAGCTTCCTGATGTCTAGAGTATGAGATCTGGAGAGCAACCCTTTAGGAATATCTTCTCTTAAATCTTATTATTTCCATCAGGGTCCTGGCCAGTCATCCAAACCATTTCCCCCAGCCTAGCAGCTCACAGAACTTTTAGCACAGGCCATTTATTTTCTTTCTTTTTTCCTTCCTTTCTTTCTTTTTGGTTTTTCAAGACAGGGTTTTTCTGTGTCGCACTGGAACTTGCTCTATAGACCAGACTGACCTCAAACTCAGAGATCTACCTGCCTCTGCCTCTGCCTCTGCCTCTGCCTCTGCCTCTGCCTCCCAAGTGCTGGGGTCAAAGGCATGGCCACCAGTGCCTAGCAGCACAGGCCATTTCTTGCACTACAAAGTGAGGACAGCCTAAGGTGTCACTTCCATGGAGGCTTTCCCTCCCTGATGTCCCTCAGGGCAGCAGCATGCTTTTCCTAATCTTGACATGAACTAACCCATGAAGGAAGTAGATTGCAATTGAGGAGTTGAAGAGTCCCTGCCTGAGTCCATGTGTATGAGCTGAGGGAGAAGTGGCAGGGCTATAGAAGCAGATGGTATAGGAACTAGATTACCTGTTCACATCTGTTGCTGAGGCCTCTTGACCCCAACTGGGCCTAGGCCTGAATGCATAAGTATCTTGAACTTGTTAGGCCTTATAATACTCAGCTGTAAGCACTGGGTGTTTCAAGTCCTTGTGCATGTCAGAAGCTTCTTTTAGAATGCTTTGTCTGCCATAGTAAGTGTGGCCTTGCTCCAACCCTCATAGGTGTGTACCAGTACCTTTCTCTTAAGGCTTCCCCATGGCTTCACACAGCTTACTTAATAACATGGACAGATCCCATTAGGCCCCTTAGGTTTGTCCGGTCTTCTTGCTGTAATCACACAGCAGATTTTATTCAGTCTGGACCATCCTCACCACCCATTTTTGCTCTGGGCTGCACTTAAAACTGGCCATCCCTGACTCTTGTATGACCAGATATTGACCAGTTTGATGATCTGCCCAGCACTATACTAGATAAATCTATATTTGCTAAGATTAGAGTTACTTTATTCTTGAAGTAAAAAAATCCCAACAAGACAGGCATTGGTAATGCACACCTTTAATCCCAGCAATGGGGAGGCAGAGGCAGGTGGATCTCTGAGTTTGAAGTCAGCCTGGTCTACAGAGCAAGTTCCAGGACAGCCAGAGCTATACAGAGAAACCCTGTTTTGAAAAAGAAAACTAACAAATACAAAGCCCGGGAAGACTTTGGGAGAGAAAGGTAGGTAGCCAATGGGCCCATGCACTCATACATAATCTTGCCCACTAACTTTGTTAAAAGGGAACTTTCAGGGAAACTGACAGTAGCCCACCACTCACCCTCTTTCTCTCAGGGACCTGAACCCTACAATGACAGAACAGCTCTTCCTCACACCTTAATGATGGGATGGCCCTTTCTTCACTCAGCCAGAAACTGTTTGGTATTCTGTTTCTCACAGACCCCACTGTTGTGTTCAGTTGATTCATTAGAGGTAATGTTCATGAAGAATGTGAGGTCTATGTTCTTCTATCCCAGCTACTGTGACAGAATATCTTATTGGGTAATTTACAAGCTACAGAAATGTATGGCTCACTACTCTAAAGGGTAGAAAGCCCTAAGATCACAGCACTAGCAGATTCAGTGTCTACTGACAGCCCAGTCCACCATGCTGTCTCTTTACATGGTGGAAAAAGCAGAAAAAAAGGCAGTTCTCTGGAGCCTCTTTCTTTCTTTTTTATTTTTTGTGGAACTTGGTGCTAAGGATAGAACTCAGTGCCTCAAGTACTCTGGCACCGAATTCTACACCTAGCTTGAAACACTGACCTCATTCATTAGGGCAGACCCACATGGTATCACAGCCTGCTACAGGCCCTCCTCTTACCACCATCACCTTGATAGTCAGGATTCAACACAAAAATTTTGGAGGTACACACACATACACTCAAACCACAACAGTCTGTGCCTACATTCTTTTTTTTTCTTTTTTCTTTTCTTTTTTCTTTTTTTTTTGTTATTTTCATGTGAGTGTCCAACAGTTTTAACAAAGACCATGGAATGCCTTTGCTTCTTGATTTTCCTAGAATCAGATAGTCAGGATTTCACAGAGGGTACCTTATTGGAAGACTTAATAACATAAGTAGGTGGCAGCAAGACCAACTGAAAGCCCGACATTTGGATCAAAAGAGATATGTGTGTACATATGTTACATGAGAGTGACTATCCAAGCCAAAATATCCCTGGTTTGTCTTAAGCTAGCATCAGTGTCAGGCATTTTTCTGGTACTTGGGTCTTGACTATGGAAAACTCTAATGCTTTTGTCTATTTATGCTTCACTGGAATGCTATTCAGGAGAAACCTACCAGGGTTACTCTAGGGTAGTCATGGTGGTTACAATTCAATATCACTGTTATCCTCTCAAACTCAACCCATACACTGGTATGGGTATCAGGTGTAGTGCTGAATAACTGCAATCCTAGCACTTATTTAGGAAGGTGAGGCAGGAAGAGCATGAGTTTGAAGCTAACAGTCTACAGAAAGATTTTGTTTCCAAAGAAAAGAAAAATAACAAAAGAAAGAAATGAAAGAGCCAGGAGTAGTGTCACTGGCCTTTAATACAGTATTCAGGAGGAAAAGACAGATCTGTGAGTTGGAGGCCAGCCATGTCTACATAGTGAGACCCTGTATCAAAAGAAAAGAGAGAGAGAGAGAGAGAGAGAGAGAGAGAGAGAGAGAGAGGAGAAAAAGGAAGATTGGAGGTATTTTAGAGAGAGAGAGAGAGAGAGAGAGAGAGAGAGAGAGAGAGAGAGAGGAAAAAAGGAAGATTGGAGGTATTTTTGTCTATTGTCTATTACTGCTGCTACTCCAATTTTCAAAACGTGAAATGTTTTGGATATGGTGACACACAGCTATAACCCCAGCACTTGGCATGGGTATGGGTGTGTGGTGGTGGTGGGGTGTCTCTACAAGATCAAGGCCAGCCTGGCTACATAGCAAATTCCAAACCAACTAAGTCTACAGTGTGAGACTCCATTTCAAAAGTATAGAACATAGCCATGTATGATGGCATACACCTTTAATCCCAGCACACAAGATTTGATTTTATGGTCTTTTTAAGTTTCAATTCAAAGAGTTGTATTATTTGTTAAACATCATCATTTGTCTGCACAAAGTCCTCTTTCATTTTATTTAAAAAAAAGAAGCTATAAAACAGGTGTGGTGGTGTATGCCTTTAATCCCAGCAGTCAGTAGACAGAAGTAGGCAAATCTCTGTGAGTTAGAGGCCAGCCTGATCTACATGGACAGCCAGAGCTACATAGTGAGATCCTGTCTCAAAAATGAAAAAAAAAATAGAAAGAAAAGAAAAAAGCTGGAAGCCAGACGTGGTGGACTGCAAATTCAGCACTTAGGAGTCAGAGGCAGGAGGATCACCAAATATTAGAGGTCAGCTCACTCTATGTAACTAGTTCCAAGCCAGCCAGAGCTACAAATCAAAACCCTATCTCAAAAACAAAAACAAAACCCAAAATATAAAAATAAACTCAATAGTAAAGTGAGTACTTAGCATGGCTGAAGCCCTGGGTTCAATCTTCAGCATTGAAGAATAATTTTTTTTAAGATTTATTTATTTATTATGTATATAGTGTTCTGCCTGCACACCAGAAGAGGGCACCAGATCTTATTACAGATGGTTGGGAGCCACCATGTGGTTGCTGGGAATTGAACTCATAACTTCTGAGTCATCTCTCCAGCTCCCAAGAATAATTTTTTATTTTATTTTATTTTTGTTTTTTCAAGACAGGGTTTCTCTGTGTAGCCCTGGCTGTCCTGGAACTCACTAAGTAAAATAAGGTGGTGAGCAATTGAGGCAAACACCTGACTGACATTTTGCCTCAACATGCACACACACACACACACACACACACACACACACACACACACACCATGCACACATGAACAGGTACACATACACACACCACATAAATGAACAAACAGAATGGAACATGCATATAATCTCATTGAGAGGTGGAGGCAAGAGTTCAAGGTCATCCTCAGCTACAGAGTGGGTTTGAGGCAAGCCTACTTAAAAACCATTAATTTAAAATACCTCAATGAGGGCCTGGAGAGATGACTCAGAAGTTAGAAGCACTGGCTGCTCTAGCAGAGGATTGGGATTCAGTTCTCAGCACCCATATGGCAGCTCACAACAAATCTGTCATCTGTAACTACAGTTCCAGGGAATCTGACATCTGTTAGGATTCTGCCCTCACTCCAGCTGCATGGCCTCACATGCTCAGTTCAGGAATTTGGGGGGGCAGGGATCTTGCGTCTTACATCATCAGTGTGCGCTTGTGACTACATACGTGCCTTAAAAGCCGCACATAGACCCTACCCTCCCTCTCTGCTCTCTGCTTTCTCTCTGTTCTGCTCCCCGCTCCCATCTTTCTCTCTTTCCAGGCCTGGCTCTCCTCTTTCCCCAACACCCCCCCCCTTTCCCTCCTAATAAAGCTCTGAAAACTAACACTGGGTTCTGTCTTGACCGTGACCTTTCCACGTGGTAAGCAGCACCATTTATCATCCTTTCAACATCCTCTTCTGGCTTCCATATGAGGTGCACACTTACAAATTAATCTCTCTCTCTCTCTCTCTCTCTCTCTCTCTCTCTCTCTCTCTCTCTCTCTCATGGTTTTTTGAGACAGGGTTTCTGTGTAACCCTGGCTTTCTTGGAACTCACTATGTAGACCAGATCCTCCTACCTCTGCCTCCCAAGTGCTGGGATTAAAGGCGTGTGCCACCACACCTGACTTGAGATAGTATCTTGTTAAGCAGCCTTGTTTGTCAAGGAACTTGCTCTGTAGACCAGATTGACCTTGAACTCTGATTCCTGAGTGTTAGGATTAAAGGCATTCACCAGGATACCTGGCTATAAAAAAAATAAGAAAGCCAGGCAGTGGTGTCTCATGCACTAGGGAGGCAGAGGTTAGAATTCCTGGCCACTCCCCCAGCTACATGACCGTACATGCACTGTCCAGTAGCCAGGCAAGATGCTTAGTCATTCCTGGGCCTTAGGATCATGTAACTTAGTCATTGCAGGGCTGTGTGATCATGTAACTTGCGTGCAGTGTGATCACATAATAAATGCACATGCATGGCATAGCATACCCATATGCGTATGTGTGGGGGAGAATCTATAAAAGCCCTTTTCTTCCTGCATGAAGCACATCCCTTCTATTTCCTTCCCTTAATAAACTCTTATAGTGGGTTTCCTTGTACCTCGTGGCTTTTCTTACATGGTAAACAGCACCACTTAATGAATAACATTGTGCCGCTTAATAAATAACATTGGTGTTGAATTGAAGCAGGCCCTCCCGGTGCTCTGTGCCTGAGATGCTATACTGAGGTTTTGTTCTACCTATGACTGCCCACTTTTCCATTTGTCCAGCTGCCGGACTGCTTCGCACAACACTGGCTGCTTCAGTTGGTGAGTTTTCCCTTTGTAGCCAGCGTAAACAGTCCCCTGGACCCGTGGAAACAACCATAGATTGTCCAGCATGGGAAATAAGGCTTCCAACCCTATTAGTGCCACCTCTCCCCTAGGATGTCTTCTAGAAACTCTTAAGCCTCTCAGCTTAATGCCTTACTTAAAGACCTCTGAGCTTGTCTGCCTTTGCACTAAATGGGCCCTTAGATAACAATAAAAAATGGCTATCTAGTGGCTCCTTGGACCCCAATATCTTATGGGAATTATCTAACTTCTGTCAGTGAATGGGCAAATGGAAAGAGTTCCCTTATATCCAGGCTTTTTTTTAAACCTAAGCTCCAAACCCTGCCTTCTTGCTTCCTCTCTCCTGCCCATGTGCTCCTAGCTATGCAACCTGAACCTGAGGAATCACTGACTACTGCTCTGGACCCTGCCAATGCACCTCTGCCTATCCGACCTCCTGCTCCTGCTCCTCAGGTGTCTGCCCCTTTGGCTCCTCCTCTAGCCCCCTCCTCATCTCCCGGGCTGCTCCAACCACCCAACTCTGGCTCCCACCTTCACTCCTCCTGTCACTCACTCTCTAGCTGCCCTGAGGAGCACAGATGAGTTTGGGAGCAGGCTAGGACACATGCAGATGAGGTTCATCAAACTAATGCTGCCCATCCACCTGGGGCCGAGGTGGTTCCCAATAATTCAAGATGAGGAAGAAAATCAATCTAATTTCTTAGAATGGCTTACAAAGGCTCTCTTACAATATACTAGCCTAGATCCTGACAGCCCAGAGAACAGACAGCTCCTTATGACCCCCTTTGTCTTACAGAGCTTCCCCTACATCAGGGCTAAACTTAACCGTCTGGGAAGAGGGCCTCTGACCCCACAGGCAGAAGTCTTAGTGGTGGCATTTAAGGTGCACCATGGGAGATGAGAAAGCCCATAAACAGAACTGCCAAATGCTGGCACACACTATCCACCAGCTTCCCAAAGGCCTCCAGGTCACTGTTTTAAGTGTGGTAGAGAAGGCCACTGGGCTTGTGCCTGCCCTGCCCCACATGGACCACCATCTGGGCCTTGTCCCGAGTGCCACCAAGAGGGACACTGGTCAGCTGACTGCCCCCATGCACCTCGTGACATGGGGACATCAAATGAAGACCCACCCTCCAGTCAATCTCCTAGGCTTGGCCATGGGTGAGTATTGAAGGTGCCATTTCTCACGGGGAACTAAGGGTAGCCATTATAGTATCAGGGTGATTCATTTCATTCCTTTTAGACACTGGAGCTGCTTACTCAGTCCTGAGGGAGTTTGGGGTCCCACCTCTCCTTCTCATCTCCCTATTGTCGGGTAGGGGGAGAGCTTTACCTACCTCATCAGACCCCACCACTTAATTGTATTTCCAGGGGTATCCCTCTCACATACACATTTTTAGTTGTGCCAACCTGTCCTGTGTCCCTAATGGGAAGAGATTTTCTAGCTAAGGTAGGAGCTTTTATTTCGTTTGCTCCCCCATTTGCCTTACTCCAGACTCATCAGCAGCTTCTCTCCTTCTCCTCCTAGTCACCCAGCCTACTAGCTCTCACATTTCATTTCCCTTGCCAGTCTCTCAGGTGGACCCCAAAGTCCGGGACACCCAGAACCCTTCTATCGCTAGGCACCATCCCCCTATTATTATCCAGCTGCAGGACCCTACCAGGAACATTACCCAAGCTCAGTAACCTCTCTCACTCCAGAGCCTTAGGGAACTTAAGCCTATCATTTCTGACCATCTCAGAAAAAAGCTGCTCTAGATTTCTCTCTCTCTCTCTCTCTCTCTCTCTCTCTCTCTCTCTCTCTCTCTCTCTCTCTCATTCTCTCTCCTCTCTCTCTCTCTCTTGCTAATACTAACCAATAGATAACAGAGTACTAAACATTATAATTTCATAGCTACCAGCTCAAGGTTTTAAATTCCCTGTGACTGCTTCTTAATATGTTTAAAAATTCTTCCAAGCTCCAGAGCCATCTTGAATCCACCTGGATAGGTCAGATCCACTTCAGATAAGTATAATTCAAACTTTCCTGGTCCCAGGGACCGGTCCCCCCCCCCCCGTCACCCTGGGACCCTGCAGGGACCCCCCTTCAAGGTAATATTTTTTTTTCTAAACTTCCTCTTCTGCCTCACCAGCACCTTGTCAGACCCAAATAGTTATAGAGCCTGAAGCAGCAGAAGGTGATGGACAATTACCAAAGCAGTGGAGGACAATCCATTACCCCAGGGCATCCGGTTGCCCCGAAAGCCCCCTTTCCAACCCCCCAAAATTAACTGACGCCCAACGAGTCAGCCAGAAGCAGTTTCAGGAGACACAGCGCCCCCATTTCCTTTCACCCACCATTTTTTATAAGAACAAAGAGTCTGGTATGTTAGAATTCCTAGCCACTCCCCCAGCTACATGACCACACATGTGCTATCCAGTAGCCAGGCAAAATGCTTAGTCATCCCAGGGCCTTACGTCCTATGTAATTCGTGTGCTGCATGATCATGTAACTTGCACACAGTGTGATCACATAATCTATGTGCATGCGTGGCATAGCTACATAAGCCCATATGTGCATGTGCAGGGGAATCCATAAAAGTGGGTTCCACCTATTCCTCCCCCCTCTTCCTGCATGGTCATTCCATAGGCTTATGCACACCTTCTCTATTTCCTTTCCTTAATAAACTTTTTCTTTTGTTTGTTTTTCAAGACAGGGTTTCTCAGCATAGTTTTGGTGCCTGTCCTGGATCTTGCTCTGTAGACCAGGCTGGCCTTGAACTCACAGAGATCCGCCTGCCTCTGCCTCCAAGTGCTGGGATTAAAGGCATGTGCCACTATCACCTGGCTCCCTTAATAAACTCTTCTAGTGGGTTTTGCTGTACTTCATGGCTTGTCTCACATGGTAAACAGTGCTGCTGTGGGATGTCCTGTATGCTGTAAATATATGTTGCTATGATTGATAAATAAAAAGGTGATTGACCAGTAGCCAGGCAGGAAGGATCGTGTAGGCAGGACAAGGAGAGAGGAGAATTCTTGGAGGTGGAAGACTGAGGAGAGAGATGCTGCCAGCCGCCACGAGGAGAAGCATGATGTAAGATACCGGTAAGCCATGAGCCACATGGCAACTTATAAATTAATAGAAATGGGTTGATTTAAGCTATAAGAACAGTTAGCAAGAAGCCTGCCATGGCCATACAGTTTATAAGTAATATAAGTCTCTGTGTGTTTAATTGGGCCTAAGCGGCTACAGGAGCCAGGTGGACACAGGAAGACTCCAGTTACAAATGGTGCCCAGTGGCTCGAGTTTCCACCTGAAACCTGAAAATACTTAATAACCAATTTTTTTTTTATTTTTTATTTTTCGAGACAGGGTTTCTCTGTGTAGCTTTGCGCCTTTCCTGGAACTCACTTGGTAGCCCAGGCTGGCCTCAAACTCACAGAGATCCGCCTGGCTCTGCCTCCCGAGTGCTGGGATTAAAGGCGTGAGCCACCACCGCCCAGCTATAACCAATTCTAAAAGGAGCCGGAAGCATGTTTCATGCGGGTGGAGACGCCGTATCTCTATGGCAGGTTCGGGGCATGTGGGCTTGACCTATTCCCGCTGAATTACACAGAGGTTTCTGTAAGCCCTGCAACATGGTCCATGCTGGATTTAAAACTTTGCTAGTCAAAAAAAAAAAAAAAAGAAAAAAAAGAAAAGAAAAAGAAAAAAAGAGGTTTCTGGACTACACGCTGCTGGATGGAATCATAGACCCACTGCTTCCCAGAGTCAGTGGGAGCATGGTTCCCAGAGCTGCTGGTAAACTGTACTACCACAATGTTGGGAGGCTGAGGTGGGCAGAGCCAGCAGCCACAGCGGCTGGCTGTTTCAATCTTAGAAATGCTGCAGTTTAAACCAATAGATTCACAATAAGGCAGATTCAGATGGAACAAGACTTTAAATGGTTTACAATGTGTGTGAAAATGTACGTAGGCTTAGAAGAGAGAGAAAAAAGAATATAGACTTATAGTAAAGAAATAGAAAGTTTTAAAAAATAAGTTCTTTAAAGACAAAGTAAAAATAATATAAAAAATAAGCCACGTAAAGATGGATATCACACAGAGAATCTGTATTGTGTTGTCTTTGGGACTTTTAACTGCAGAGAGATTTGATTGTAAAGGCAGCTGAGTTAAACCAATATGTATATTTTACAGATACCTTGACTTCATAATTTGGATGTAAGGATATGTTGCTTTGGAAAGGAGGCTCTGCTTTTGTTTCCACAGAAAAGCCAGAGGCTATGGATTTGTTCCAGATTAAGATACATCAGATTTGACCAGCCAAGACCCCCTGAAAGGTCTCCAGTGACACCATGGCCCAGATGATCCAACATCCAGAATCGTTTCAAGGCAACTGGCTCAGACGATACGGTCTCACGGACTACTCCATGATCCTAAAATTTTCTTTATGTTCCCATAAGATACAGTGCCCCCCTCCAGCAGGAAGTAGTAAGAAGCTACGCCCAAATTCCCAAATATACCAAGCTGGCTTTGGAGATGGAATTGGCTCACTCCTTCTCTAAACTCAAACATATTCGTAAAGAAAACATTGAGAGATTCTTGTGTCCTGTATCAGAAGAGCCCTCTGGTGTGGTATAGAGAAAAACAAATATTTTTATTTAAAACAGGTTGATTATAAATGTGATCTCTTTCTAAAAGAAGAAAGGGAGGCTGGAGTGATGGCTCAGTGGTTAAGAGCACAACTGCTCTACCAGAGGACCAGGGGTCAATTCCCAGCACCCACATGGCAGCTAACAACTGTCTGTAACTCTAAGATCTGACACCCTCACACAGACATACATGCATACAGCAATGCACATAAAATAAAGATAAAGTATTTTTAAAAAGAAGAAGAAAGGGGGATAGTATAGATAATAATAGGATGAAAGGGTAGATTAATAAACCTACTTTTAGAGAACAACAACTTGTTTAAAAATGCTTTACAGGGGCTGGAGAGATGGCTCAGAGGTTAAGAGCACTGGCTGTTCTTCCAGAGGTCCTGAGTTCAATTCCCAGCACTCACATGGTGGCTCACAACCATCTGTAATGAGAACTGGCTCCCTCTTCTGGCCTGCAGGGATACATGCAAACAAAACACTGTATTACATAATAAATAAATAAATCTTTAAAAAAATGTTTTACATTGCTATAGATTTTAGTTTATTGATACAAATTAGAGTTGGTTTTGTTCTATTATATGTATATTTCCACTCTTTTTTTTTTTTTTTTTTTTTTTTTTTTGGTTTTTTGAGACAGGGTTTCTCTGTGTAGCTTTGTGCATTTCCTGGATCTCACTCTGTAGATCAGGCTGGCCTCGAACTCACACAGATCTGCCTGCCTCTGCCTTGCGAGTGCTGGGATTAAAGGTGTGTGCCACCACCCAGCTATCTCTACTCTTGTATAAGATATTATGTTTGTATAGTTCATTTGAAATTGTAATGGATAACTAAGAAATACAAATTAATAATTAGTGTTCTATGATAGTCAAACTTATAGTTTTCTATGTATACATAGATATAATTCAGTTAGGTAGGTAATCTTCAAACACTTCAAAGAACTACAGAATATGACATTTAAAATGTTTTAAAAATTTAGACTTTCTGGACAGTGAGACATGTCTGCTTCTGGCAGCACCGATTTATTTCAGAGAGGAGGAGGACATCAAAGACACTCCATATGGAGTTTATCTTCACCTTGGCGAAAATAGCCATTTGGGCAAGAAACTGTTCTTGCCTGTACTGCTTGATCGACTGGACATGCAGGACCCATAGGAAGGTGAACTTTGCTTGGCAAAATGGTCTTTTTCAGGTTCCTGCTTTGTAGAATTCATATAAGCCTCAGAGGATCAAAAGAAGCCATTGGATCCACTTCACAGAGGTCAGAAGGACTCCAGATAAGTACAACAGTACAGCTTGAATTTTCAAACTCCTCCCCAATTACTAAGGCACTCTTGTCTCTAGTCTATATCTGGCTCATTGGGATTCCATTTGGCTGACTGACATATCCAGGCATCAGCTACTGACTTCAACTTGTGAAACACGGACTTGCTGAAGGCTGATATGCACCAGTCCAGCCAAACATAATTGTTCTCTGTCTCTACATCCAGGTCAGATGATCAACTATGTGTGATTAATACCCTATTGCCTAAATTCCCCCCCCAACCTTTGACTGGCCTTTCAACCTCCCTGACCACCTATGCCCCATTTCATCTTGAAGCAGTTGTGGAGAAAAATACGTTATCCCATGCTCCCTGTTCCCAGTTCAGGCTTAAAGGTAAAACCCCTGACATAGGGGACCAAATGGTTACCTAATGCCCATTGATATACCAGAAAACTGGACCCAATATTGTCTATTGATATTTATTAACTGAAATGGTTCTGCAAAAAGATAAGTCACTTGACCTTCTTTATGCAGAACAAAAGAGGTATTATATGGCCTTAAATAATTATTTCTATATAAATCATTCAGGATTATAATCCGGCTGTACTCAAAGACCAAAACTACAGGGATAAGCTTCACTTAGTCCCTTGTATATGTTTTCAGGGTTGAGCTTAAAACAAGTAGCTAGAAACCAAGTTTGTCTATTCAGATATACTTGGACAGCCCTCAAATGCTTCAGAGATCTTCAGAATATAGTATTTAAAATGTTGAATTAAAAAGCTTTTCATGATAGAGAGACATGATGGCTCCTGGCAGCACCATTTCCTCCAAAGAAGATGGCTGGGTACAGAAGAGCCTCCACCCAGAACTTGCTTCAGAATGGCAGCACCAGTCACTGAGATGGGCACAGAAGAACCTGACTGCTGCCAAGGCCTTCTTCAGACCATGGACAACAGGACTCTGGGAACCCATTGCCTCACTTTTGCCTAGACAAGATAGACTGGTCCTCCCCACAAGTTCCTACCCACAACCATCAGATCTTCTGAGGCCTGTCAGACCTAGGCCTGGCAGCTGAAGACTGATGTTGCCCTGAGACCTCTGCCCTCAATGACCATGGAGGACCCTGGGGTGGCTGTCTAGGAAGCCAGCAAGGTCAGTCTCTGTCACTTTCAATCGCTAACTCAGGTAAGATTTATCTTTCTCAGATCTCTGATGCCATCTGACCACCAGGCCTTGTTTCAGTTCTCCATGTAAAATTCACAGGCCTCATTCTCCTAGGGCTAATGCTGCACTTAGTATCTCCTGATGAAATATATAAAAAGAGACAGCTTTAAAGTTTATTTATGTAGATAGGAATGCTGTCTCAATTCTGTTCATTCTGATAATATTTAGGGAAGACTCCCTCCTCCTTAACTCACTCAACCACTTCAATTCAGTAAATTTCCTCTTGTTATAGGTTTAAAGATATGTTTCATTGGGCTAAAGCCAGGAAATATTAATACCTTTTAAACCAAAGCCACCCTCTGGATGGAACAGAGGAAAACTAATATTTTTATTTAAATCAGGTTGATTATAAATGCAATCTTTCTAGAGAAAAAAAGGGGATAGTATAGATATAATAGGATGAAAGGGTAGATTAATGAACCTACTTTTAAAGAGCAACAACTTGTTTAAAAATGTTTTACATTGCTATGGATTTTAGTTTATTGATACAAGTTTATACTTAATTTTGTTATATTGTATATATATATTTCTACTCTCATTTGAGATATTATGTTTATATAACTCATTTAGATTGTAATGGATAATTAAAAAATATAGATTAATAACTAGTCTTCTATGATAGTCAAACTTATAGTCATGTTAAATTTTCTAGGTATACATAGACATATTTCAGATAGATAGGTAATCTTCAAACACTTCAAAGACCTACAGAATATGTCATTTAAAATGTTTTAAAAACTTATGGGGCTGGAGAGATGGCTCAGAGGTTAAGAGCACCGACTGCTCTTCCAGAAGTCCTGAGTTCAATTCCCAGCACCCACATGGTGGCTCACAACCATCTGTAATGAGATCTGGCACCCTCTT